AATAAAGGTAATTAGCTGAAGCTTTTCCTGTAATGCTAAATTATACTGTACTTAATGGGAAAGAAGACATTACTGTCGACCCAATATCGATCATTTTTTTCAAATAACTCTGTTTAATACTGCTCATATCTTACACCATTAACATATATATATACTGATTTGATTCAACTCCTTCACACTATAGATAACACTTTTTTCCCCATCTACTGATATACGTACAAATACATAGTTATATTTCAATTATAATTACCAATACTTCAATGATATGATATTTAGATTAGAATTATTTTGATTACATTTAGTAAATTCTACTTTGTTTGTTTGTATGATTTAAAATTTAATTATTATTGTATGACATATTTGTTCCCTAATGAATTGATTTGATTTAAGCCTGATATACTACACAGAGAGAGATAGATAGAGAGAGAGCTTGATATATTAGACACATATTATTATTATTATTACTAGTTTACATCACTTTTAGATCAATTCGATCAGATCCTCAGTGAAATATATACATTGACTATTGAAATTAATTTTTTTTTAAAAAGATTTCATTCTGAGAAGTATAAATACAAATTTCATTTCATTCTATTTGATGAATTTAATACATTCAAAACGTTTCATATTAAATAAATATATAGTTATATAATTAGTGAAATCTACCCTATTTCAGACTGTTACATATACAATACAACATCTATGAATATATGACAGGAAAAAACAACTGAAATACTGTATTCAACGAAACAGGATACAAATAAAGCAGAAAAAGAAAAGAAATTGAATGATCATTAATGATACATTTTAATATAACTTTTCCAAATGATAAATTTGAATAAAAAACGAACAATTAACTTAACAGAAACAATGGTAACAATTCCAATAGTTGAAATCATGAGTCAATTGAAGCTAGATCATTATGGAAAACCTGGAAACACTGGACGGCCGTTTCGCCCCAATATTAGACTCTTCAGCAGTGCACACGCACGATCTTGCTCCCCGCGAGATTCGGACACAGGACCTAATAGTCTCGCACGCCAGCGCTTAACTACTAAACCACTGAGCCTGCATGCAACGGTGTTGATGTCTAACTTCAATCAATCCACGAAATCGCACCACTGCACACCATTGTGTTCATTGAGCTGATATCTCACCACAGACCTGGTTGAAGTCCACTGGTCACGGCTTCTCACTAGAACTCCGGAAAATACCTCTTGAAGTCAGCTACTATTAAGCAAATGACTATTATCAGAAGGGGTAAACATTTGCTCACTAGTGACTGACTTCAAGAGGCATTTACTGGAGTTCTATTGAGAAGGCGTTACCAGTGGAGTTCAACCAGATCTATACGACCTATGTTAAACCAATGACACGCCAAAGCAGCACTAAAAACCTTGCGTCAATTCGGAATCCTTATTGATCCTTATCGTCTAGCCCTGCCCGTTGAGTCCAGAACGCAGTCTTAACCTCGATTGTATGAATAATCTATGTCAGACATACGTACTTTGTATACAAGCAAATCAAACAGCATCATACCATAAATTAAAAAATATTATTATGCAAGATCAAGTCAAAAGTGGCTATTAGTGTGAGAGACTGTGACTAACAAATTGGGAATAACTCAAGAATAGTAAGTCGTACAATAATAGCCAATAAGTCAGTTGGAAACTGATGATAAAAGAAGTGTAAATACATATTATTCTAGTTAACGGTTATACAATAATGATATATCAACAATAACCGTCCGGAAAAGTTCCCAGAAGTTACTTATAACTTAATCTTCTTTTGATATAACACTACCCAATATTTAAGATCGCCGTTACATTATTTTCGGATATAAATTCTCACTTTCTTGATCGATAGAATTCCATTACCACTAAGAACGACTTGACATACTTGACGATTGTCATTACTTGGTGATCAGATAATTATAAAAAAACCCGTCTTTATGTGATTTTATATTTTTCCTTCTAGTATTTATATACGAGTTAACAAATAAACATACAACCATTAGAACACTTTATAATTTGTCCATGATTACTGCATTCAATTTACTAATATTCATCTGTATGATAAAAATTATCTATACATGATAATATATGATTATTAATTATTGTCTCTAGATTGTAGGTGATACAAGAGAAACCACAAAATAAACGAATTCATGTTATTACAGTAAATTTTAAAAGAATACAAAGTCTTTATTGAGATCATGAAGCCTATACTGATAATTGTCATGTGCGCATTAGTGACTAGTTTTGAGAGATACTTCTCGGAGTTCCATTGCGAAGCTATGACCAGTGGAGTTCAATTGTTTCGTGTGTGAGTCAGTTACCTACAAAAAACAACGAATGATGGTCGAGAAATTTTGTGGATTGATTGAGATTAAACAATAAAACCGTCAAATACCGGCTCAGAGGTCTAGAGCATAAGTGTTCTTACATGAGACTGAAGGTTCAAGATCGGAGTCCCCTATGCTAGAGTAGTCCCATACTAGAACGAAATGGCTGTCTAGTGCTTCCGGGTTTTCAAAGGTAGTCTAACATTGAAAAAATCATGACCTCAATTAAAACTCAATAATCTCCACAACCTTATATTGATAAATACAAATTCACTGTTGAAAAATCACAGGTATTTTCAGACATATATATATACTCCATTCGCACAATACATTAAAAAGGTTGCACCATATTACTTAACTTCAAATCAATTTTTTAAAAAATAGGTTACCGTTTGAGTAAAGTAGAAGGTTATTCTTTATGAAAATAAGCCACATGCATTAATTTAAGTTGTGTATTCTTTAGTTTCCCAATCATTATTTCTCTTCCAAAAATGTAACCTATTTTAGGAGTGTTTTCTTTTTTGTTTTTATAACAGACTAAATAAAAATGTATTCAAATTTTCAATGATTGTCTATACCCTTAATATATCAGACAATATTTTATGCATAAGTAGTTATTTTATTGAGATAGAATAAAGACGAATAACTATTTAATTTCAGATGGGTATTGTGGATATTATAGTATTGTCAATGGGTAAGATCATGAGTCAGTTGAAGCTGGACCACCATGGAAAACCTGATAGCACTGGACGGCCATTTCGTTCTATTGTGGGTCTAGTGGTTAAGTGCTCGCTCGCGTAACCAGTAGATCCTGGGTTCGAAGTTCGCAGGGGGCAAGTTCGTGGATGCGCACTGCTGAGAAGTCCCACAGTAGGACGAAACGGCCGGGTTTTCCATGGTGGTCTAGCTTCAATTGACTCATGATCTTAACCATTGAAATTATTTAATCGTTAAGAAATGTTTCTTCCTACAAATTAATAATCGCTCATCTCGTGATCATCATAATAAATCTTGATGCCTATATTTCATTGAATGTATTCTTATCTAATTCACTCCTTATCTCTTTATATATATAGCAGTCAACTCGAATACACAAAACACAACTGATGAGCAAACGCTCATTATAGATTAATGTGTTTATTTTATAGTGGGCAAATATTTACTTTTAAGCATTTTTTTGTTTAGATTTTTATCGTGAACTAACATTAAGTACGGAACATTTTTGAAATGGATAGCATATCGTGCTTTATCGAAAGTGACTAAAATATAAATCGGTAAACCCTAATTTAATAGTTTTAATATTATATAATGCATGTATATGTATACAAACAGATATTGTTCTTACATTTATCACATTGGTTTATAGTTATATCGTTAGATGTAAAAATATGGCTTTAGATTACTCAAAATATTTTAAAATATTCGAAAGTAGTTTAATTTACCACATTTTTCGGTATTGAACGTACAAGACATTAAATTTATTGTACTCAATGAATACAGGATGGGGAATATGAAAAATGAGTATTTATAGAGTCACTGTCTGCTTTGAGGCATTAGATACTTTAAGAAATACATAATGAGTTGTTTGCTGAAAGTTTTAGAAAATTTTTCACGGTGCACTGATTGTTAAAAGCATTTTCAGCTTTTTTTTCAGGCTGCCAGAAATGTGAAAATATAATTCCGATAGTATGAAGTTGTTTATATAAAGGGTAATCGATGATTTATGCTTACTTATAATCATTACAGCTTTCTACATTGAAATATCTAATTCTTTTAAAAGTATAGACTGTATTTGGAAAACTTGATTCAACTGCGAATTACTAAATTATATGACCAGTATCATGATACTTAATCGTCGGATAACTCATCAATTTGATTTCATATTTTAATTTTAAAGAATTTATCTACAAAGCTTCTACTATTAATAAATGTAAAGCTTTTGACTGAAAATAGCAGAGATCGGAATTCGTGACATTGGTGTACCTATTATATGTGCTAGGTATATATAATAAACTCATTGTAGTATAATTACATTAAGAATATTATATGTCAGTAATAAAAACAACTATAGTCAGGTAAGACAACATTCATCTTTATATGTATACCTCAGTAATGACCGCAGAATAATTTCAACAAAATGGGCATTTTTAATGATTTAAAGTGGTTATCTGTTAAAAGTTAAACTTCTACTTCTTTAAAAATGTAATGAAAAGAAAAACCGAAGTCTAATTAATGTTATTATAATTACCAGCATATTTAGTTTGAATCACAAACTGATCTTATCTAGACTATTGCTTAAAAACTTTTAGTACTCGAAGAAAGTTTCTTTCTGGCATGTGACTACAAAACAGTGTTCATCCATCATGCATTGATTGTAGTTACACATTAGTACCGTTGAATGTCGGCTAAGTGGTCTAGAGGCCAAACCTCCACGCGCGAGACCGACGGATCTTGGCTCGGTTCTCGCGTTTATAAACTGTGATTCTATTTGAGAAAATGTCTCGATCAATACTGGCTGATGAAGATTTACGCAATTAAATATATCACGACTGAGACATTTAAATTGTATGATCTTTAGAATGAATTGTTTGAGGATCAGTACATATACAGGTAAAAAATGGTACGATTTTTTAAAATTCATTTCGGAATGACTTACTTGTTTTAATTCAACGTAAATTAAATATGGCAATGTTAATCCTACAAAAGTAAATGTTACAACTAATAATAAAATAGTTGTACGTCTTTGACCAACAAACCATCCTGTTTTAACTGAATTTGATCTGTATTTATGTAGTAAAATATGTATATCAGTATTTTGTCTATTAGACAATGAATTACAACCATTTTTGGATTGTGAATAATAATGCACACTATTAATATTTTCATCACGATTTCGACATCCATCATTATCAACATTATCATCATCATCATCAAAATGCTGAGAACATAGACGAATTTGTGAATTATCCAATTTTATTGAAACACAAGATGAATACCTTGAATTATTTGAAGGTGTTTCATTTAGAGTTGAAGATTGAAAATGTTTTAATTTCATTTTATTATTATTATTGTTATTATCATTATAATTGTTTAATGTACCATCCCATGTATGCGGTCCAATACATGATGATATCACATGATGATTAGATATTGGACAATACATAGTAATTATATTCTGATTATGATTATTGTTATCAAACATTTTAACAAATTTATGAATTTGTTTACGTTTATTTAATGAATGTGAACATGTTGTACCAATAATAACTGGATTATTCTCTGAATGTAATATACATTTACATGGAATTAATGATTGCTCAATATTAATTTGATGATCATATGATTTTATTTTTTCTTCTTTTTTAGATTTACATTTGCCAGATCGTTGAAACATGGACATACAACATTTGTTTAAACTCATTAATATTTTTGGATTATATTTTGTATTCTTTTTAAAACATACTTTATTACCACATTTTTGTTTTGGATGAAACCATGGTAATGATCTCAAGTAATGAATTAATAAGACATTAAATATAATAGTAACAGTATAAGGAATAAATCCAAAAATGATTAAATGTTGATGACTTAACCATATGCTAATGTTACGTGCAATAGAAAATGGTGATGATTTCGATTGCTTTGTTTCTACTAATTCACTAAATAAATTATGAAGTCCAAGTAATTGTTTACAATCTGTAGTTTGATTCATTTCAAATGATTGATTACTAAATAACAATAATGTACCATTGACAAAATGATCGTATAAATGTTCGAATTCATCAGTTTGTATTTGTTTTGATGAAGTTGTCTGTTCTGTATCTCCTGTCAGCTCTCTTTCTTCAGTTGGATTGATAAAAATACAGAAATGACTGTGCTGGAAAATTAAAAAATGAATACAGCAATTGAATACATCGAACTGCTACTAAAGTCGTGAATGATAGGCTTGGAAAACTTTAATGTATTGTGACTGCCCCGTCCACATTCAAATGAGGGATTGTACAACTTTTTGAGGGCCTTGCTTCTTGTAAAGAAGGTGTGATTTATGGGTAATACAATCATAAGAGATCTTATTTTCTTTCAAAATCATCGGATTATAACACTCAAACTATAAAGAGGATAACTTTTTTAAGTGATGCTTAACCCGTATTAATGTAAATACTCCTCCAAAGCTAGATTTTATTTAACTTGTTAATTAACTTAAAAGACTGGCTTCTATTTTCATTACAAATAATTTATAACAGAATACTTGATGCAACCACTGAGACCGGCTCAGTGTTCTGAAGGTTAAGCACTTATCGAAAACTGTAAATATCCTCGAATTAACGCTTAGCTTGGACAGGTACGCGCCATGCGAAACAATCCATACTCAACTGAAACATCTGTTCATTTCTTCCTGATCTAACTAAGTACTTAATGCAAACTATGAAAAACAAATCAAACCTACTAACTAATTTATTAAGTACACGTGATTTCAGTGGTTTTCTAGAATCATATAATCACAATGATAAATTAGTTTCTACTAGTCATGTTTTCTTCGTTGTCATTTATGAACAAGTTAATAAAATGGAATGTTTTATTTTTTTCTGAATCTTGACTAATATTTGTCATTTTACCAGATTAAATGCCCGACATTTCTTATAATTAAAAGGTTATTAGCTTCTCAATAAACGGATATAAAAATTTGACAGTTGACTATACCGAGAATCATTTTTAATTATCCTGGATTATTTTATGAGAAAACTGTAAAAGTACGGTATTTGCAGTATTATCTTTCTGGCAACTATTATTTAATGTAGAAAATTAATAAATTCATGCCAGTATTACAAATCGATCAGCATTCTATTTGCCATGTTGTTTAATAGAAACATGCTTGGAATAATTACAAAATTGTAATTTACACTGAATTCTACTTTGTCTAATTTAAAGGTTTCCATGATGATCTGTAAAAGCATAATGACAGTGTTCCATTTAGTAACCAAATAATTGTTCGTACAGTCGTAAGCAACGTATAAAGTTATCACAAATGTAAACCTGACAGATCATATCAGCATGTTAAAATGAGAGTTTCAAAATGAAAAGCAGATTGGTAGATTTTGCATCAACAGTAAAATCAAGAATACGATTAAAAAAGCGATAAAAAGTATAAATTAAATCTAAAACTCAGGATCTAGAGACAGATTAAGAGTAAATGCACCTACACCACTTAATCTCACCATCCATTAATCATGGAAATCATAGCTCAAAGATTTTATCACTCAACATAAAAACAGTTACCTTTTGGAAATGAAAATCGTGGTTGGTTTTTGGTTAGTCCGATAGCCAAATTTCGCAATAACAGCTTTTTGAATATACTTTTCTAAAGTTACCTACTTGTTTATCACTAAGTAGTCAAGTTAATTACTCAAAATTATAATAGTTATTTAAAAAGTTTTTTCTTTAAATAGCATTGGATCACAGCAAATACCTTGTCAGTCATATAAAGTCATGGTAATTAAGTTAAGGTTATTATCGTTGGCATATTGATATGTACAAAATACATGCCATGTGAAATCAAAAGATAATTGTCATGATAGATCGACATTGAATATGTAAATATTCAGTAATTAAAAACCAGTCAGGCGTTTTCATTTTAAAACGCAAATCTGATGTATATATATACAGACATTTTCTCTAATTTAAAAGTGGAGTAGGAAAATGAAATTGAAGGAATCGTATTATCTTGTAGTTCATGATAACATGTTCCTGTTACTTCCTTACGCCTGCTACTCCTCGTCAAGGAGAATAGACCGTCCACTAGCACTCTCCATCCAACCCCGTCCTGGGCAGTCCTTTCCAGTGCTTTCCAGTTACTATTCATCCTATTCATGTACGCTTCCGATTCTCGACGTAGTGTGTTCTTCGGCCTTCCTCTTTCCCGTTTACATTCAGGATTCCAGGTTGGCGATTGGCTCGTCATGCAGTTTGTTGATTTCCTCAATGTGTGTCCTATCCACTTTTAGCGTGTTTTCCTAATTTCCTCTTCAGCTAGAAGCTCGTTTGTTTTGTTCTTCCACATAGTAGGCTGTTGTTGATGGTATCCGGCCAACGGACAATCAGTATCTTACGTAGATAATTGTTTATAAATACTTGTGCCTGTTTGATGATGGTTGTAGTAGTTCTGCAAGTTTCAGCTCCGTACAGTAGGACTGCCTTGACGTTTGTATTGAAGATTCTGAATTTGATGTTGGTTGATAGACAACTGTTTTGAGTTCCATATGTTCTTCAATTGTAGGAATGCGGCCCTTGCTTTGCCAATCCTTGCCTTTACGTCTGCATTAGATCCTCCCTATTCATCGTTGATGCTTCCCGGGTACGTGAAAGATTCCACATCTTCCAGAGCTTCTCCATCAAGAGTGATTGCGTTGGTGTTCTCCGTGTTTTATTTGAGGATCTTGATTTTCCGCTTGTGTATGTTGAGGCATACTGATGCACAGGCTGCTGCTACACTGTTTGTCTTGACTCGCATTTGTTGCCGTGTATGGGATAGAAAAGCCAAGTCATCTGCCAAGTCCAAATCGTCTAGTTGCATCCAACCTTTCCATTTTATTCCACGTTTTCTGTCAGATATCGAGGTCTTCAGAATCCGGTCAACCACCGGAAGAAGGAGAAAGGAGGAGAGTAAGCAGCTTTGTTTGACTCCGGTCCTTAGTTGGAATGCGTCTCTCAGCTGTCCTTCATGCACGACTTTGCAGTATGTCAAGTGACGGCCTAATGGTCTATAGGTTGGGTATTAGTGCATGAAGCCGAACATCCTGGGTTCGAATGCCCTCTGCCAACGATCGTCCATGTTCCTCTTAACAAACAAAAAAATATTGGTTCTAGTTTGTATAGGTTTACATATATGAATGGTTATGGAGTACCAAATTAAATGCTAGTGGTTGTTGATTGTTCGCCAATTTTTACTGAATCTACTGTTGATATCAATGCGTCCTCAAATTACACTACATTTTACTACAAAAGTAATAAATTACGAAATCTTTTAACATTATCTACAAATGTATTAGTTTAACATTATTCATTATTTTTAGAATAATTTATACGATTTTCCAGGATTCTTTCGTTCTTAACAATAATAGTAAGTAATCAACATCTAATAACTATAACAGACATCTATGACAGATAACTGTATCCTATTTTTATGATGAAATCAAAACCTAAATTATAAAATCAAACATTTTTTGTAATATCAAACATTGTATACGAAAATGTATCATTATACAAATGCTGTTTAAGTGTAGAGAATAAGACAAGAAACAAAAGTTCTCTGATATCGAACAAATTCTAATGAGTGCAACCAATATTTCTATTGTTTTCATTATAGTTTCAAATCTATCATGTTTATCTCAGAACTAATGAAATAGAATGTTACTTAAACATGAAACATTAGAGGATGTGGACAGCGTGAAATTAGACTACAGTTTATTTTCAAAGGAATATATATATATATATATATAGATTTGAATTGTGTTTGTCTGTTATGGTTAAATAAAGTTGCCAAATATTGTTTTAAAACTCAATTTTTCATTATTGTTACTTCATCTTTTTACTGAAATATTTAGTAAACGTGTAGACGGAAGGTTACATTTACACCATAAATAATCATAGAATGATTCTAAACATTTAAAATGTCCCCCCAAAAGAAAATGAGCATTTAAGAATAGAAAATTTTTAAAAAATGGAAATCATAGTGATGCAATGTTTACTATGAAATCATAAAAATAAGTTGAAATATGGTATATGAGATAAGTAATTGAGAATTTCATTGGGTAATATTCACTAAATGAGAAATATTAAATTTCTGTGTTTTTGGATTAGTTGCTTTGTGAACTATCTTCAATTATTTATGTGAACATTCGTTAAAATTCGAACAAATAGATAGAAATCGAGCGTTCAGTATATGGAAGACATCAAATGCATAAATTAGAATTGAAATAATCTCAGAGATTGACATAAAAATAATTTGGATGTTTCATCCGACCCTATGATCTAAGCTTCATCAGGAAAATAATCAAAGTCAAAATTATTGAAGAACATATTAGATATAATGACAAAATTACACATAAAAGCTTGTCTGATCACTTTCATTTTGTGTAGAGTAATGTTACAGTAGATAGACTGAACATGATTTTATTATTATATCTTAAATATTCTTCGATAATTTTGATTTTATTTATTTCCTTGATGAAGCTCACATCGAGTTGCTTCGTGAAACATCGAAATTATTTGAATGTCAAATGATGAGACTATTTAAATATGACTTTTGAAATCAACTACTGTTTTAAATCATTGATTACGATTGATTTTTTAATTTCAGTTAGCTACTTTATACTTTTCTGTGTAGCTATTTTCAGAAACTAAGCATCATATATACGTTTGTTATATCATAACATGGTTATAATGGATATTTTTATATAAAAATCTCAATTTTATTTAGCTTGCCCAGTTAATGTAAAATGATATAAATAATGCTGAAATTTATCTGTCCAATAATTAGTATAAACATGAATCACAAAAAAATGTAGTTTCTTCTTTCAACTAATGGGTTTTATACGACTTCAAAAATGCCATTTAGTTAATTAAAATAATTAGATTTCTTCTAGATTAGAACTAATTAATAACACAAAAGGAAAAAAAGGATTAGATATTTCACTAAAGAGAATCTTACATAAATCTTGGGTAATATATAGTTAATAATCTAAAAGTACACATTTCTTACATCCACTAATAAAATTAATCGACCAAGTTCAGTGATTATGTTTACTACATTCACCACTAAAATTTTTAAGTCCATCGTTACCTCGGATAGTAAATGAAAGTATATTAAAGAAGAAACGA